CCACCCGGTAAAGATGAGGAACATTAAAAGCAACAAGTAAGGTCCTTTTGGTTTCCACAAGATGTATATGCTTTCTTTCAGCATAGACATTCTGTTCTGGGGTATGAGGACAACTTAATTGGTTTAAAATACCATGAGTGCGAAGAAAAGACTGAAACACAATACTAAGAAATTCACCCCCTGAATCGGAGCGTACAATCTTGATTTTATTTCCAAGTAGATTTTCTACATATTGTTTGAATACAACAAAAGTAGAATAGGCATCAGACTTAGCCTTTAATGGAAATAACCAGCTATATCTACTGTAATCATCAACGATTAACAAGTAGTATTAAAAACTACTAGGTGAAACAATAGAAGCAGGGCCCCAAAGATCATAGTGAAGTAATTGCAAGCTGTGAGTAGTAGTAGAAGTAGCCAAGCTAAAAGGAAGCTTATGATTTTTAGCAAGAGCATAGTCTTGACAAAAGAAATCAACAGTTGGTCTGCCTTGCACCGCAAGCTTATTGATAGAGAGAACCTTTCGAAAAATAGAAGAGGATGGATGACCCAATCTGCGATGCCAAACCTTCACAGGAGTTGTGACACTTATTAAAGCTGATGGTGATAAAGTTGGAGTGTGACAAGAGCCTTGCAGAGGATAAAATCCATCTCTAACTTTGCCCTGCAAAAGCGTCTTCCCCGAAGCACAATCCTCTACAGTGGATCCATCAAGGTCAAGAGTCAAAGCACAATTATTGTCTTTGAGAAATTGATAAACAGACAGTAAATTGTGCTTAATATGTGGAACATGCAGTACATTACTCAACTTAAAAGAATTATAAGGAGTATTTAAAGAAGAGGAACCAATATTATGGATAGACAGACCTTTACCATCTCCTATGTAGACCTTGTCTTCACCAGTGTAGGGAGAGCAAACAGAGAGATTAGCAATGTCATTTGTAATATGTGATGTGGCTCCAAAGTCTAGTAGCCAAGATAGAGAGGGTTTGGAAGAGTAGTGAGCACATAAAGCAGCAAGCTTAGCTGGTGGTACCCTTCTAAAAATCTCAGGATTCATCATGTCAAAACAATCTATGGCTTCGTGGCTAGTAGAACCACAAATTTGACATGGAGTTTGGCTACCAGATGAGGATGAATAACCATAAGAATTGGACTTGGAGCCTGGATTAGGAGAATGATTTGAAATGCCACGATAGTTGCCATGGAAAGAACCTCTATTAGTACAATGATTTCGATTCCCTCTGTTGAAACCACGATTCTGTCTCCCACGATTAAAATTATAGCAGAATGAATTCTAGAGTGACTGATGACATACAGAAAGAGCTTGTGGAGAAGGCGTTGGCAGCAATGATGCCTGATAGTGAGTAGAAAATGCCTGAAATGGCTCAGTGACAGAAGATGACACACTGTGCTTATGACGAGCCATGGAAAGTTCTTTAGTAAGCAGCAAACCATGCAATTCATCAAGGGAGGTGGAAGACAAGCGAAGCATGATGGAGTTAATGAATGACTCAAATTCATCAAGTAGACTATGAAGCGTTGCTGCAAGTAGATCTCGATCAGAAATAAGGGCACCAGTAGCTGTGAGAGAATCTGAAATCTCATTAATCTGTTGAAGATATTCTGAGATTGATTGAGAACTTTTTTGAATGGATTGAAGACGAGAGCGTAGCTGATGAACATGAGCATCAGAAACTCCACCAAAATGTTGTTCAAGCTTCTTCCATAGCTCACGAGATGTAGACCTGGTTTGGTACTGAGGTGATTCTGAAAAAAAACTGGTATAAAAAAAAGCTGGGAGCTGTTTTTGTGTTTGGTAAACATTTAGCTTCAACTTTTTTTCACAGTTTTGGGTGAAAAAAAGCCAAAAACAAGAAGCTGCAACCCAGCTTTGAAAAACCAGCTTTTTTTTCACATCTGTTTTACATAAAAATTTATCAAACACTATAATACTGCTTTTTTTTTTCAAAAGCACTTTACAAAAAAGTTTACCAAACACTCTGCTGCTTTATTTCACAGTTGCTTATTCTCACAGCACAGCAGAAGCAGCTTTCACAGCAATATCAAACCAGTCCGTAAAGACTCTAACCGTAAAGGGAATTAGATCTTCAGAAAGTGTCGAATTCAACCAAATCAGCAGATTTTGATCTTTCTCTAACCACTGCTCAAATTTTGGATTCACGTATCTATCTGGAAGAAGCGAAACCGGACATGGCTCAGTTCCATCAATGAGACCAATGAGCTTGTAGCGGCGAAGGATCGGAGCAAACAATGCCTGCCATGGGAGATGATTGGTGCGCTTGAGCTTGATCGGCATCATACTGCCAATGTTCTAAATCGTAAGAGACAAATACGAATTTGGAGAGGAATTAGGGTTTGACAATGGCGGTGGATCCATCAAAGACGAGGATGCAGATGGAGAAGCCATGACAATCAGAGACAAGATTTAAAAGAAAAGAGAAAGAATCATAAATCAGAGGTAGAAATTGATTGAGAAACAGAAGAAATCGATCAAGAAACAGATCGAGAAATCGAGGCGGTGAGCGAGTCGATAAGCGGAAGAAAAAAGGATCAGCGTTGTGAGGCAAGTTGGCGAGATACCATATAGAAACTGACTTTTCATTTCATCAAAAATTACAACAATACAGGATGATATATATAGCCACAAGCTTGCTACACTAGTGCCCTTAGTTTCTAAAACTAATTACACAATTGCCATATCTAATTGTCTACAGTTATAACTAACTAGTGACTTGTTTGGATGATTTGGCATTTGTCTCAATATGAACCATATATCTAGAGTGTTTACATTATCAAACTAATTAAGGGGAAATCATTATAAAATAACAATAAAAATTCGTACACACACACACACACATATATATATATATATTACTTCATATGCTTTTTTGTGTAGAAAATTTGTAACCCAAAACATCAAGAGGCCGCAGGAACAAGGCGAGCGGAGCAAATGGTGCAGTAGAACTTCCTCTTGGTTTTGTGGGAAATGGGGATGAAACAAAAGAACAAGTGAGCTTCAAAGTCCCATCCCATAACTGGCCCTCCGCAGTAGGGGCAAGCCGCTGCTGCTACTCCTTTATTTCCCACCACCTTTTCTCGCAGATCAAACACCGATAATACACTCATTTTTTTTTTATCTTTCTAACAATCTCTCTCTCTCTCTCTCTCTCTCTCTCTCTATATATGTATATATGTATGTGTGTGTGTGTGTGTGTGTGATTTACCTATAGTTCCAGCGTTTGGAATCTGTCAATGTTTGTGCTTTGCAAAGTTAATATTTTCCTGGAAAATGCTGCTCGTTCTCTTCTGTGTGTTGGTGGTTGTTTGTGTTGCTGGGAACAGCTTGCTACCATCGAAAGTAAATTAATATGTTATTTTCCAGGAAGGATGTAGAAAGTTCCACGAATTATGAAAGGCTGAGTCGGTTCCAAGTCTCCCAAAACTTAGGCCGAGGGTCACGCGGTCTTTTTCTTCTTCCTAATGTCACTATCATATATCAATGGTCGTTATGCAATACATATGAAATGTCCAATCCATTGATTAGGAGTTCATTGGAGATTACTTCTCTAGGAAGCACATTTGCTAAAAACGCTTTTACACGTTGAGTACTTCTTGAAAAATGCGCTTGAAGGGGTTACTCAAGAAAACACTAGAAGGTGTTGACCAAAATAATGATCCCTAAGATTTGCCTAACTTCTCACTTTGGTCCCTGAGATTTGAAATCAATAGAAGTGGTCATTGAGATTGTCTACCATCAATCATTTTGGTCATTCAGTGAAAAATTATGTTAAACAATGATCAAAGTGACAAAATTACCATCAATATAATAAACAATAGGCCAAAATAAGTTGACAAAATTGAGAGTATTTTTATCATTTTATTCTTATTTTATGGAGATTTTTCACAGAATGATCAAAATGATTGATTGTGGACAAACTCAGGGACCAAGTCTATCAATTTCAAATCACAGGGACCAAAGTGAGAAGTTATGCAAATCTCAAGAACCATTTTGGCTGAAAACGCCTTTCAAAATCCAAAATCACTTTTAATTATCTATGTTTAATGTGTTGTCAAGAACGTTTTTGATTTATTTAAAAGCATTTCTAGTTTTTCCAAAAGCCCATACACTAAAGAATATTTTTCAATTGGTAATGCTTAAGAGATCAAATTTTTAAATCAAATTTTGTAAACCAAATAATGTGAATATCCATGATTGAATTATTGATTAAGTGTTGATCAACGTACTTATTTCCTATTAGTGACAATGACACATCATTTAATTTAAAAATTGGCCTCTCTAGCATATTATAAAACTTTTTATATTTTTTATTTTGATACAAAGATTTTGGGGAGGGGGGTTACTGCTAATCTGCACAATGAGCTATTATATATCAAACTTGTCCTCCATGAGACTATGAATCAAATCTAAAATTGAGTGTAGATGAATACTAGTAGACCGCAATGTTGGTGGCAATTGCTATGCAACTTCTTTGGAAGAAGATCCAAGGTATGTGGGAGTTTTCACATTTGAACATCCAACAGGATATTAACGAGAGCTCTATGCCTAAATGCCTATGTGCTTGATCATTACGTAAAGAACGCGTTTACCTTCAGACTACAAGAGAGCAGCTGTCCGGCCACCAATGCCAGTACTCGTCTCCAACACGGCTCAAAGCCTACACCATGCCGCCACCCAAAGTGGCAAATCACGCCTCAAAGTCAATCCCTACCGACGTCTTTCGAGCAGTTGTTCAGACACTATTCGATGACAAATGTCGGTTCGAAGATCTATAGAATGTTCAGCATGAATCTTAAGAAGCTTGTGTTGCGGCTAGAGTTCCATGAAAATAGTTTTTATGACAACTTATGTAACAATTTTGCATAACTAATTAAAAACCATAGGTAAAATTTCCCATTTGGCCGAAGTTCCAAGAACTGACAAATCGCACGCAAGAAAATTTTGACAGAACATGTGGTATCTAACATAACTATCGACAGGTTGTATATACCGTTTCTATATCCTGCCTAAAAGAAGCAAGAAGCCGTTCATGTCATTAAGTAAATGGTAGCACAACAGATTTTCTGCAAAGAATGATCAGACATTACCACATAAAGATAAATTTGTGAATCATGGGGATACTTCTGTTGGATTGTGCGCCTCGATATCAACATGCCGTATACCAGGAACAAGCTTTTGGATCTCCTTTTCCAATCTATCGACTTCACTTCCTAATGCTGTCACTACCTCTTCACCTGCAATGGGAGATGTAGTTCGTAATGTATTGCACGTAGAAACCGGTCACTGAAACTACTTAATTTTTTTAAAAGTAAAACGCATAAAAATACCATAGTTTGACATCATTTTAAGCAATGCAGTATCATCCTTCTCCTTTGCAGCCTCACGAAACTGCATCACATCCACATAACACGCAGAATTCAGCACGTACACCAACAATGAGTGATATGTCTTGAATGTAACTAGAGGTCCAAAAAAGTTTCAAAAATTATAGAGATGATTAACCTGTCTTGCCCATTCTCCACGCCCAGTCCTATGGAGATAATTTTGAACTACCACTACTCCATTGAAATCTGTCCCATGCAGATAGCGACGGTTATATCACACTGATATCCCAATAGTGCCAAATGCAAAATAATGGAAAGAGTATACTTCTAAGAAAAAACATAAGAGTTGTTGAAGTAATAAATTTCAGTTTTAGTGGTCATCAAATTACAAAAGAAATATGTCATTGCAGAAGATAAAACTTAAAATGCTGCAACGTCAGCATGGTGATAGTTTCAATCCATTGCTAACAGTATTGATAATGATTCACTTTTTGTTTACAAAATCAGCCAAAACTGGAAATACCAACAGTGGTTTGTTAGAAAACTGAGAACCTAACCCAAGAAGAATCAAGAAATAAAGAAGTCGAGATGAAAAAAGGTCACCTATTTCAGCCTTAAATCTGAAGAACCCAGGACCAATCACCTCGCTTTTGCAATCATATAGAGAATCCACAACCTATAACAAAATCAGTGATATTTACTAACCTTAAGAAGCATGAAGGTATATCAATACCAGAAAGAGATCATTAGCATTAATTATACCGGGTCATTTTTCAAAAATTGGAGAACCTTCTCCATATCATGGTCATCCATTGCCCTGCCAATCAAAGCATGTCGATTCCTTTGGATCAGAAAAATAGCCACCTGCAGGGTAGATTCAACTCGGTTGTATAATTATAATTTCACTGTGTGTCTCAGTCACAATCTGTTGTGTTACTTAGTTTTCTTTTTTTGAATACCCAACATTTAATAATCAGACTTCTTCAAAATTAGCATTGTATTGCAGATATTCACTTCAATTTTGGACAGCAATGTGGTACTCTAATTGCAGTTTCTACATCATTTTTTATGGAAACAAGCATCACATACCATTCCAAGTAGGTTGCCAACTACAATCGATCCTATGGGATCATAAATTGCATTTCCTGTTCTATTCACTGCAACCAATGATGCCGCAGCAATAGCAAGCCCAGTTACAGCTGCCCCATCCTGCATATATAAGATAATTTACAAAGGGATAATAGCTTGTTATCAGACCAGAAAATATGTGTGGCTTCATCATTTTTCAATCAACTCTAGGCTTATGCTACGTTAATGAAGGGTTTCAATGACATTACATGTTGGGTTTGACTGCTTGAGATAGTTTCTTGCAATTAAGTAGACTGTAATATACTCATTGGTGTTACTGAAACTTTCATTCATCCCCATTTCCATACCTAATCATTTCTTCCTTTGCAATCACAGAAATAAACTCCAACAACCAAGGGAGAATAAAGAAAGAACATCCCAGTGTATTACCTCTGTCATGACTGCAACAGATGTGGGATCATGTCCACGCCATATATAGTCTCTCAGTTTCATGCCCTCAGCAGCTGCACCTTTCTTGACGGCTTGTATGGCAACAAGAAGAGAAGCACCTACGGAATGGATGCAAAGGTTAAAGAGGGGGAACATGAGAAATAAATAAAGTAATCGTATGATTGGGCTTCCCATCATTGTTTTGAAAGATAATGCATTGAGCTCTACCTTCAATAATAAATGAGCCACCAATCACAAGAGCTGCATACTGAATATTTGGAGGGGGCTGAGGAAGAGGCAGACAAATTCTATAAAACCGGAATCGAATTTACAAACACAACAGATAATCTAAGAAATTAACGGTAAGACATTAGAAAGAAAAAATAGTACACATAGGTTTGGGTAACAAAATTTTGCCAAGTAAAAACTCAATAACCTGTGAAGTCCACAAGTTTTGAACTCCATGAATGATAGTCGCACCAGAACCAAGACAAAAGATACCAACAGCAGATATCAAAGACCAGACAAATCTTTCCTTGGAGTATCCATAACTGCCAGAATCAAAGACATAGCATGATAATTAGAACTAATTCTTAGTGCGAGCATATAATAGTATATATGCATGTATTTAATTTCTATTCACAGCTCTTGACTTGTATATTATGCACTTGCAACATCCAATTCCACTCGAGCGAGTATTCTAGAATCATAGAAGTGCTTAAACCAGTCAAATTAATTGCTAACTCTTATGGTATGTCATAGATTTCTTCCTTCTGAAACCTTTCTTAAGACCGTTACATAATGCGCAACTTTTGTTGATAAAAAGACAAATTAAACAATGAAAGCTAATGAAGGTTTCATCAATGATGTGAAAAGTTGGTCATGGTATAGAAAGACTCACGGGTGGAGAGCATCTGGTGCACGCCTTGAGCTACTCAAACCATAAGCAAGAAGCGCCTACAATGACATGGATTAGTTTCTCTGCATCACTGAATTGATTCAATCATGAAATGAAAAATCACAACAACATTGACTTCAAATAGACCTCCATCAGCATGAACCCAATACCTGATTTGCAAAATCAGCAACTGAGTGCACAACTTCGGCAAACATAACATGGCTAGAGGTGGATAACCAGACACCGAACTTGAGTGAAAAGACAAGGAAGTTGCACCACAATGCAGTTGTGACTGCCCTTTGACTAGCAAACAGAATTGATGCAAAAATCATAAGAATTTAATGCAATTCCAAGTAATTAAACAAACAAACAATAAAAATCTACTAAATCGAAAAAATTACAAACATTTTCAGGCTCGGTACCTGTGCTGGTCATTGAATTCAATCTTCACCTGCTTAGCTCTAGTAAAGAAACCTGCAAATCAATGCACACCCAGTTTTTACCCAAATGCACAAAATTTTCAGCTAAAATTGACTAATTTATCACTTTTCCTACAGAATTTCATAACTTCCCAAATCGAAAAAAGAACTTACTGCGATGGAGCAAGTGCCGCTGCGGCTGCTGACGACGATGAACAACACTATCGGACGAAACCAAGTCGAACAAAACGACCCGTTCCGAGCAGGCAGCTGAGGAAACCAGGCCGCGCAGCAGAGTGTGAGCAGAGGAGCTAAACGGAGCCTTTTGGGGGAGGCTGCGATAGTCGTTCCGGGGGTCTGAGTAGTGAAAGAGCAGAAATTGGGAGGAGCAGCGAGGACTGAAGCGGTGGGTGCGGCGGAGGCGGGAAACGAGAGTGTAGGAGGACGTTCTCATCTCATCTGCATGGAAATGTTCATGGGTTCTCGGAAAGCTACTGCATTTCGATTGTTTTTAGGGTTTTGAGGGTGGGATTGGTTTAGGGTTTTGTGGGTTGTCGAAAAGAGTGAAGAATCAGAGACGCAGAGCGAGGTTGAGGATGGTGACAGCTAAGAGCTTAAGACATTTGTTTTTGCTAGTACAAGGTTAAGTATAAAACCAATTCGCACAAAGATTTTAAAATTAAAAATTAAATTTGTCATCTGCAACAAGTCAAAGTGGAAGAAAAATGGTGAAGATATCGAGCCACCAATGGTGTGGCAGCCCAAATTAGACCCGCCAAAGGGTTTCGGTAGGAAGCGCTTCTACTCAATGTTTTAAAATACGAATTTAGTGATATTTTTCTTCATTAAGTGAGAGGTTTATATTTCATTCTCGTCAAAAGTAAATTAAACCACATTATTGCCAAGCGTTTCATGAATAGCTCCGGCTAAGTGTAAGTCATGAGTCGAAATCTTATGGGACCTAAATAATTGGGGATTGCGGTTGGTTATTAAAAGAAACAGGAACTACTGTTAGTTATTTGAAAAAAAAAAAAAAAAAAAAAAAAGGGATTGTTGTGGGTTTTAAAAATAAAAGAAAATTAGACTTGGGCAAAATGATGTCGTTTGGGTCAAGTCATTTAAAAAATTTTAAAGACTTGGCCAAAATGACGTCGTTTTGGACGAACTCTTAAAAAAATAAAAATTTCCTCTTCTTCGTTGTTGTCTTCCTCGTGAAGACACTGCACTCCTTTCAACCCTAAACTTAGATGACAGAGCCGTTGACCTTGATTTGCCTAGACGACAGACCCATTTGACTTCGATTTTGGGTCGCTGATGGATCTAGGAACGCCAACCAACCGGCATCAGGCGCGCCTCGAGACATGTTTTTTTTTTTAAAACACTACTTTTACTTTATAAAAATCGTGTGTTTTACTAGATGTATATCGAAAATGCTTTTATAACTGAAAAGCACTTTTATATTTTATGATAAAAAAAAACTTTTAATCATTTCATAATCGAATTCTAAATAAAATTATTTATTTTGAAAGAAACACTTTTACTAAAAAGTTGAAGTAGTTATTTTAAACCTCTCAAAAGTGGTTCCTCAATTCAAGTAGCATTCGTTTCTCCAAACGTGTTGATGAGATGGGGGAAGGTCTAAAAGTGACGATTCTAAGTTTGATGTACATATTGAAACATAAGTCACCTAATTAATTGTTGATATTTATAGTCTAACAATATTAACGTTTGTTTCGAAGAATGAAATCACATAGCTGAGGATCTACAAGCATCTTTTATTCATTACTTGCACGTTATAATTTTCGTTGTAATTTTTGTATGGAAAATTAAGATCTAGGATATAAATTCTAAAGTAATTGTGCACTTTGAAATAGTTATTTGTGTGGAAAATGAGAAAAAAGAAAACTAACATAAATCAGTTGTTACGTCTAGGGAAGTAGATATAATGTGTATTAAGGAGTGAGATATCCACACACCATTTTTTACTTCTTGCACACTCTTTTAATTTACAACATTCAGATCAAATGAATTAAAGAAGATCAAATGATAAAAATTAACAAAAGTATGTGAGAAGAAAAAAGGGGTTACGGTAGTGCTATCTACACACCCTACTATTACTTCTCACATACTTTTTCTCTTATTTTTTTGCCATCAATGAAGTGAAGAAAATTAATGACCAAAAGTTAACAGTAAAAGGTAAATATGACATGTGTGAATAGTACTATCCTATATTTATTCATATAGTAAAAGCTTTATCAATCAATCAATCAATCTCTAATATATGTTTGGTATGGTTGTATTTACACATCCATTTTTTACCTACGCACACATTTCATATTAATTTATGTTATTTAATCTTCTTTTTAGTCGATTTAATAATCAAAAATTAAGAAGAATATATAGAAAGTAAAAAAAGACTGCGTAGATAACAACACGAGCACTCTAAACATTTTTGTATGCGGACAAATGATATTCTAAATTAATCATAAATTTGATTCACGTACCAACAAAATCCTTCGCTATTTTTACAAACAAACTACTAATTTTTTTTTTCATTTTTCTTTTTATTACTAACAACAAACTTTTCTTTTCTGTTTGGTTTTGGTAACAAACCAATTATTATTTTTCTTTAAATCAGGACAACAAAATGGATTTCTTGGTCTTTTCTCAGTCTCCACTTCCACAACTCTTCTCTCTCTCTCTCTCTCTCTCTCTCTCTCCATATTTACAAACAGATCGACAAACGGGCGACACCCCTCCTGAAACTTCAAAGTCTCCACCCTACCTTCGTCCTTTCCCTCTCTCCCGTTTCTTCCCCGTATCGAAACGCACATCTCATTTGACCGGAGATCACATCGCTGCTCGAAACGTTTTCAATTGCACTCGCTCCCGTTTTCATTTCCGGCTTTTCGATCCTGCAAAACAATTTGGACGCGGTTCCGTTGTTTCCAGATCGGAAAAAACGTTTTCTTGGTCTCGCTGCGTGTTCGACGCTGTGCCTCTGGATCGGAGGGTAAGTGTTTGTTTGGTGCGATGGCCAGGGTCAGATCGTCGTCGTCGTCGAGTGGATTGAGGTACTGCAACCCGGCGTATTACTTGAAGCGGCCGAAACGCTTGGCTTTGCTCTTCATTGCATTCGTTTGCGTCACTCTTGTTGTCTGGGACCGTCAGACTCTCCTCAGAGAACACGAGGTTGGTCTCCTTCTCGGTTATTTTGGTTTCTTGATTTGGATTTTGAGTCTTGTATGCTCTGTTTGGTTGCTGAGAAAGTCTTGGGAAATGGGGATGAAATTTTTTATTTAAGTATGGATTGGCGGTTTACATTTTTAGGGTCTTTAACTGTGGATGGAAAAAGGGTTGATCGCGTTAGAGGGGAATTTGAAGCTCAGTAACTGCTATGAGAAAATGTTTAATGTGTTTGTGTTTGTTTGCCTTCAATGTGTTTTTGTTTCAATAAGATTTCGAATCTTGGAGTAAGTGTTAAATTAGGCATGTGGAAAATGGTAATCTGATTGTTATAACTATGAGGAAAGGAGCATCTGGTTTAATGTAATTCATCATAAAATGTTATGGATTGCAGAAGCCTTTTATATGTAAGCTACAATTCCAGGTTATACGGAATTTGAAGAATGATGAATAAATTTCTCTTGAGATGCTGCGTGAGTAGTAACTAGATTTCCTAGTGGTGAGAGTTTGCATTACTAATTGAACCTCTGTTGCATACCCGAGGTGTAAGAGTTGCACATGTTTTTTATTTTTCTCATCTAATGATCTTATTAATGAATGCAGGAAGAAGTTGCCAAGTTAAGCGAACAATTGAGCCATTTGAAAAGTTTGGTAAGCGTCTTATACCATGGTTTTTGTTCATGCTTGAGCTACTTCTTGTATGTGGCCTTCAGTCGCCATCTTTTTCATCCATTTATTTGGGATGGGGTGGTACTGTTGCTGCCATAGCTATCAATCTCTGAATTTTTCACTCATAACACTTAGGTTTAATCTGACAGTCCCCCCCCCCCCCCCCCCCCCAACTGGCTGTCTGAAACGACTATAAAAGAATATGACAAACTTTATAAATTAATAAAGAGCTTTAAGTTCTTCTTATTCCGCCTCAACTGTTCTTTGAAATTGAACAAAATAGATCCTCTATGGTTATTTATAATCTGACTTCATTAGATATTTGTGCCTGGAGGTGAAGTGAACACATGTATCTCAGAATACCCTGAAGCAATATTTTAATCCTTTTTTAAGGGGTTGATATGTATCAAGTTACAACTAATGGTATACTGTACACTCAGGTGGAAGACTCACAAAATGTGCAAGGTGATGCCACTAAAAAGATTATGTTGAAGGGCAGGGGTGGTGAGAAAGAGGTTGTCCTGGACCCAATTGACATTCAAAGAAGAGAAAAGGTCAAGGAAGCTATGATTCACGCATGGAGTTCATATGAGAAGTATGCATGGGGCCAAGATGAACTTCAGGTAACTTGAACCTTTCAGTTTACCATTGCCTATTTCATTTTTAAATAGCAGTTCACAGTGCTTTATGGCCTTTTCTCTACCTACGTGTTCCTTTTGTGCTATGTTATGAATTCAGTTTACAAGGTTTTAGTTTTCTTTTGGTGTATCTTTTGTTGATTGTTATTATAGCTTGCTGAAGTTGTGACTTTGTCAATGTTGTCAAGCTTGGGGTTAACTTTCAGCCATTATCTAACTAATTAGAAAAGTTGTCCAACTTTCAGTCAGTATGTAACTAATTAGAAAAGTTATCACACATGAAGTTTCTGAAATTGTACGTACTAGGAATCATTATTAAGTTGATGACACTTTGTATCCACCTGAAGGCTGAAGCTGTGCTTCATTTTATCCCAGTAAGTAAGCAAACAATATTTGTCTCTAAATCTCTTAACCCTAAATCTTGTACTTATCTATCTATGTTATCTCTTTTTAAGGAGTTTGTTCTATGATGCTGTTGGATCAGGTTTAAGTAGCTTGTTCTATAATTTTAACTTTACATGCCACTTTCAAATTTTAGAGTCATTTAGTGTTGTGAAGAATTATTTGGCCTTAGAAAATCTTTGGCCAAAGGTTTTCGAGTAGTGGAAAAAAGCAAGAAGGACTAAAAGGTTTACATTCCAAGGCTATGGTTGGGACTTGGTCAGTTTTGTCAGTTCAAGTCCAGGTCTCTATTATTTGTATCTGTCTTTTTCAAAAAAATAAGAGTCCGTAAGGAGGCAGAGAGGGACTTTTGGTGGAATGTCGTTGTTCTATATTCTGTTGGGCAGAGGTAAGCTGGATATCTTATGATGTGTTGTGGCGGATAAGTGATGTACCAGTGGATAAATATTAAGAGAATTTAACGATGCGGTTTAAATTTTAAAAAAATTGCTAATTCCTATTGATTCAGTAAAACACATTAAGAAGCTGATGATATACATACTGATTTCTTAATCTGCTAGATTTTTCAGATTCCATTAACATTTTGCTAAAAAAAATTAGTGTAGGTGTTCATGTCTCTATTCTGATAAACTCCGTTTCTGTTTCTGTGCTTGCTCAAGAATCTAGGAGCATTAAAGTTGTCTGGGCTCAGTCACAATTCTATTTGTACCGACCACAACTTGATACTGTTTTTTTTTGTACTTTCCATGTTACTGATGATGTTATTCTTTTTGTACAAATTTCTAACGTCAACGCTGTTTTGCATGTACACCAGCC